AATAAAATAAAACTAGAATAATTTCAGAGGACACTGAGAAGCCTAGAAGAAGCCACAGGAGGCTTGATGTGTTGGCTAATTTTTTAGACTAATTTTTAATTACCTTAGGTATACAGAACCCAACATTTGAGCTTAATAAAACAAATGACAGAAAGAATAAGCTTTACTAGCAAAAACCCTGAAGACAAAAATCTCATATTTATTACTCTAGTAACTAATAGAGTTAGAAACATACCCAGTATTCTGATATATCTCCTAAAGATTTAGTTGTAGAATGACTACAACATATTTACTCTTCCAAACTGCAAACTACAACCAGCTACCATAGTAAAAAATAAATAGGAAACTAAGTACGGTCTCTAGAAGAAAGTTATTTAAAATCAGACCAAAAAAAAAATTCTATAGACAATACCTTCAATACTTGGCTGCATTTCTTCTGTTTTTGGAACAAAAATTCTGATTACACTTGTGTTGATATAAATCAAGGGTAAATTGCGTGAAGTCAGTGTATGGGTCCTCATGGGCTGACCAGGAGATTTTCTTTTCTCTTTTTGGGTCCTTGGTAGTTTTGCTTGAAATATACTTGCAATGGCATTAAGTAAAGGAAAACAAAGGACAACGTCAAAAGCTTGTGCTGAAAGAAGAATTTCATGAAGAAAATGAGGGGAACCATCCGTGAAACCTTCAGATAACTTATGAAAACTTCTGCGCTCATTTCTTGATATTAACTTGTGGCGGACATTTTTTGTTACAGCTTTTGTGTATGTCAAAGAGAGAAATCCATGCTGCTGATGAGAGCCATCTAGAAGTTTTGCAGTTGTCTGTTCCAGAAAAAGGAAATCACAATACACATTTCATTAAAAAGAGAAAAAAAAACTATTTGAAAGCAGAAAGTTGGTATTATAATCTTTTATTATGTCTACACCTCTTAATGACTACATTACTGATCAATTCTGCAGATGGGGCAAAAGCTTCTAAGACTGTTAGAATGACTAAACTGAAAGTTAGGAATACTGAGTTCTAGTTCTAGATCCTGAAAGAGGTAATTAACTTCCTTGTACCTGTTTCTATGATTTCTACATTTGCTGTAACATTCAGAATTTGGAACAGATCATCTATAGATTTTATCTTCATTTTCGATAATTTCTCTTTAAGAGTATCAATATGCTGTCATAATATGGGTCACAGAAAGGTTGTTTAAGCAGGTGAAATTGAAATAACCATGTTATGCATTTTCATTTGTGACGCCCATAAAAATAGCCTCACTGATACCATGCTTTGATAACCGAACTAACCATTTAATGCATGTTTACTGGCAATGGTAACATGATACAAAAATAAAACATTTGTTTTTCAGAACTTGCCTATTTTCAGTGGCTATTGTAACTATCAAGTCTTCTACAACTCATATTTCTTGGGTTTAATACTATATTAATACACATACAACATTTAATTAAGACTAAAAAACTATATCACTGTAACTTCAATATTTCTGACAAAACTTGTCGAATTAACTCTCATATCCAAATTGTACACTAGCAACAAATTATAGACATAAACAGTATACTTTTAAGAGTAAAATAAAATGCATACTTTGCATTGCTCAACATATGAAAAGGACAGCTCTTGAAAAAAGTTTTCCTGAACCGATTAACGTACATAAAATCCTATTTTGCAAATTACTCAACATAAATTTAGAGTTAAGTTGTTATACTCCACATTCTCAACTCCTCCTCCCAAGGCCTGATAAAGTTTTTTAGTTATTAGGGTCCAAAGAATGATATTAAGAAAGGAAGTGAACTGTGGAAGAAAAAAAAGAAGGAAACATATTCACATAAACAGGAAAAAAGTGAGAAGTAGCAAAGCAGCAGTGTCTGAGCCTGTGCTAACCGACTAGTAAACCTCTTCTGCTTCCATTTTCCTCCTATGTTGTTGCCTATTGCCCAATGACATGGTGAGAGCAAAAAAGTATGTGATTCAGCTATCACTGTTAATTTTGTTTTTAACCTGAACTTTACAATGAAGAAAGATGAGATAAAATTTACCTTCATACATGTTCTTTTTCTAAAAGTTAATTTTCTGAACATTAAAAAAAACTTGGAAAGCAGGTAGTAAATGGATGTGCACTATAATCATTTTTCGTATAATTGTCCTGCCTTCAGAGCATTTTTTACTGTTTCCAACTTTCTCACTGCCTCTCATCTGATTTCTCTTTCCTTTTGCCTTCTACCCTTAAAACAAAAGGAAACACGGTAAAGCAAGAAAAAGTGCTACCAGTCTTACCACTGTGTTGCTGGACAGCAGACAGCAGTGGATGGAGAAGGGTGTCTGTGTTCTGGCCCCAGTGGAAGAGGCCACAGCAACACCATCTGTTTCTAGGTGTCCAAACTGGACTTTGGAGAGGGGAGTAGAATCAACCACTCATCTAAATAACCCAACTCAAATCTTCAATAATGGCAACATTTGAATCCTGGAAACAGTATAAAAGGCATTTCAATGTATAAATGTTTTGATTTGGAAAAAACATTTTTAAACATATTGAATCCTGGTACTCTTGAAAGGTAAACTTCTATGAGAGAAAGTTTGTTGAACTGCTGCATTCCTCATTCCCTTAATATAAGGGAAAAAACTGAAAGAATGAATGAATACTAGCTGGAGGTGGGATAATATAAATACTACTTTTCATATAGTAATAATCAATATTTTATACTATTTAAAATGAAGAGTTAGAAAAATGCTGATAAAGAAATGTTAATAAAATCAAAAAATTTAGAAAAATTGCTGAAGAAAAATTTTAAAAGGCAATAATAATTTTGGGGTTTTTCAGGAATATATGTTAAAATTAAGAAAGTTTCTCATGGACACTAATGAACATTCAAAGAGAAGAAAATAAATCTAAACAGAACTACTGACATAAAAGCCACATTTAGAGACTTTTTTTTCCAGATGAGGCTAGAAAAAAATGCAGAAATCAAATTAGAAACTAGCATTTGCTATGCAAACACCATAATAAAATTAAATCTAGGAATGCAATTATTTAAAATAATTGGTTAATTTTTATAATGCTGGAGATATGTCAAATTCCTTTTGAGCTACAAAAAAGGGGAAAGAAATAGATAAATAGTTCATGCATGCTGAGAAAATATCTAATAATGTTTGCAACAATTTAACAAATTCTGAAGAGAATCACTATTACTGTTGTGACAATCTGCTCTTGATATTTTAAAATTACATGCATTTTTATTGATTTTAAGAATGTCACTTAAAAGAATTAGCTTAATAACATGTTCAGATATATTGTATACCATTAGAAAAAACAAAGCTCTAAACTTCTAAAAGCCATTGGTGTACAGTCTAGTGCTCATCTTCTATCCAGTCAATGACAGACATATAGCCTTGTCCAGATTCAAGAGGGCATTAAATAAGATACTTTGAATTAGTTGTTAGAAGGAAACGGAATAGGAAAAAAAAAGGCAATCTAAGTAAGAATCATAAAAAGAATGACAAAAGCAGTATGGTCAACTCTTGATCATTCAATATGTGCACAATTTTAAAAACATTATATTTAATGCCCTACTTTGATTTTCTTATGCTGATAGTAAAATTAGTTTGTATTCACAAAACCAGAGTGACAAATAGCATATGCAAGTAACCCAGAAACAAATTAGATTCTAGTGGAAAACCAGTCTATGATTTAAAAATTCATTATAGTTCATTTACTAAGTAAATGATACAGAGGAAGATAAAAATCAAGAGTTGATTCTATGGATAGTTCAGTTGCTTCTCTGGGTTCTTGTTAACGGGAGTTCTGTAGCATAATTTAAAAATGATTTCTTACAGAAGGAAAGAAGCCAGAGCAATTACTGAAAGGGTCCTGCTTGCTGATGGGTCGAACCAACAAGGTGCGTCTGTTCAGCTTGTCAGTACACGAAAGGAAGACACCTCCACATTGCCCCAGAGACCAACACTCTTCCCCAAGGCTTGAGGTGATGGACAGGAGCAAAGAAGGTGAAAAGACAAAAAGCAATAAAAGCAATAAGCAAAAAGTCTAGATAGTTTTAATTCTGCTCAAGTTTGCATAGATTTGGGTTTGAGCCACTGCAGGTATGGCCTCTGTCTGGAGCATCTTCTGCAAAAGCATTGTTAATGGAAATAAACAAAAAATAATTGCTTTTAGTGTAAAATGACTACACTAGTTCATGATAAAGGACAACCCACATGAACTCACTTATGAATGGAAAAACTTCTAAGAAGTCAACATAATACATTAATGATAAAATATATTAATAAAAGCAATCCTACCTTTGTGTTTTTGAAAAGTTTATTTAATTGCTACATAGGAAAATGGTTACAAAACACAAGCAGCTTAAAGAAACAGTTTTATTTTATTATGTAATTTTGGAAGAATAGGTCAAAAAGAATTTATTCTGAGCTCTAATTCTTGCAACCATTAGTCCTATTGCATGAAAGAACAAATATAAACAGTTTATATTTTCAAAATATCATAATTACTAAATGAATCTCACCACAGGTTTTTCTTTGCACTGTAGAAATACTCCTTCAAAATGTCCTGACTGCCAACCTTCCCCTTGCCTGGAAAACATAAGTTCACCTTATCTGTTCTCTTCAATTTTTCTGATTTCAAAAATTGAGCATATAAAACTATTTCAAATAGTTATGATGTAAACAACACTACACTCAACTAAAACATGTATTTGACAATGCATCAATGGAACAATTTACATTAGCACCAAACCCTGGTAGCTCTGCATGGAAGCGTCTGTCTTAAAGGTAAACTGTATAGTATACTTATTTGTTTATTTCTATCTCACCCATGAGACTATGAGGTCCACAAGGGCATGATTTATGTCTATTTTTTTATAAACTCTATATTCCCAGGGCATAACCATAGTGCTTGGCACATAAAACACAATAAATACTTCAATTAAATGAATGAATAAATAAATTATCTAACATTTAAAGCTTACATAAATTTAACAGTCAAGTCACCGAAGATCTAGAACACAGATTATAATATATTCACATCATCAAGAAATTATTTCAGCTACAATATTCATGTATCACTTGCAAGGATCATTTTGATATAGACACCATTCAAAATGAACTAAAAAGCTAAACATTCCATTATCAAAAATCAATTAATGATTCACTGTTAATACAACAAAAGCAATTATCATATGCTTAGTAAGATAATACTATTATAACAGGTCTTAACATATATCCAGCAAAATATTCTGAACTTCACATTTATGACAATTTTTCAGCTGTGAGAGATTGACAGTTATTGACATAAGCAATATGACATATGTGATAAAGGATAAAAATTCAAATGTTTTTAATGTAGAATTAGAAGGCCGTTAAATAAAAAAGACGCTTTTTAGGGTATATAATGCATCAATAAAGGTACAGAAACATATGTGCTTCTGTAGGTACTCTCTAAGCAATTGTTGAATGAATAAATATTATGAATCCAGAAAAAAGTGAACTTCAAGGCTGTTTCTCTGTCAAAATAGTATGAAATTGAAAATATGATGCCGTTTAAAAAACAATCTTTAAAAAGTATGGGTGAGTTTTATGGTATGTAAATTATAATTAAAAAAAAAAACTCTAAGGTAGTATTATAAAGCAAAAAACCCAAAAAGCATTTGTATTTTTATAAGGGAAAAATTAATGACAAAAGTGCTATATAGCTTGGTAAAAATATCTAAAACTTTACTTTTTTACTACCGTTATTTTTATAAACATATCATATTCGCTTACCATACTTTTGACAGAAATTTATTAGGGTAGAAAAGATACAGTTCTAGGAACATTCACCACATGTATATTAATCATCTGAGATAAGAAAAGTCTCCAAAGTGCAAAGGAACATGAGTTGTTGCTCTATTCTTATACTATACTGGTATAGGGAGTGGATGGCGAGTATACAACAAAAACCAAAGCCATCAACTGTGTCACAGGCATCTTAGCCATTATACAACATTTGTAACAAATTGTGTGAGATGATTAGTAAAAGCAGCTTATATCATTTAATATGGCAATATGGATATTTATGAAGAGAATTGCCATCTCATAAAACAAAACATTATATTCCATGTATAAATGTATACCAAGTAAAATTAACCAATTTATCTGTTAAGAGCCCTCTGTGGGAATAAGTTCAGTATTTTTAAAAAATAATTAATCAAGTTAAAATATAAAAATTCTTATAAAGACTTTGTTCAAGGAAAATATAGCTTTTCCCATACTCATTACTCATTATTTACCTGCTTCTATAGTGATCAATATTAAAACTTTCTATTTTACATTTCACTTTGGTATATACATCCTGGACATCTATGGATGCACTGAGATCTTCCAGTTCACTGACCATACAAAGCTCTGCAATAAGAAGCAAATGTTAATATCAATATAGCCCCCACAATCAATATTAAAACTTTCTATCTTACATTTCATGTTGGCATATATATCCCTGACATCTACAAAGGGACTGAGACTTTCTGTTCATTAACCATGTAAGATTCTACAATAATAAGCAAAATTGATATCAATATGGGCCTCACAATTAAGACAGGATACCTATTTCAAGACGGGGGAAATCCTAGTTAACGTCTGAAATGCTATATCTGATATTAGTCAAGATCTCTGCAATCCTTTTAGTGACGATATAATGCATCAATACGTCCAATGAAGAAATTACCTCATAGTTTTGGAATGAATTTTAATACAAACAAGACAAATAGGTATTACATTCAACATGCTGGTATTGCTAATAGAAATCACTTGAATTAGATCTAATGGTATTTATTTAATTTAAATGAGAATCATAAATAAAACTAAGTCTACTATTTCTTCTAAAAATAGTGTTTAATATTTTTATCTTTCAGTAGAGAAGAAAAGTAATCCTGTACCTGTGCATTTATTTTCAGGATCTGGAGCAAAGAGCTTTATACTAATTTTGGGGAGTACCCACTGCATCCACAGACTAACACGTCCACTGGATCCACCAATGTTACTTGTAGTTTGTTCCAAGGTAACAGAATCTGAGAATGGTGAATCATCACCTGCTTGTACAGAATCTCCCTGGGTTGAGAAAAAAACAACAATACAACACTTTGTAACTTAAAGAAAAATAACTGAAAAAAATGATAATTTTAAATCTGCAATTATTACTTATAACTTTTCTATATCATATATGCTAATACTAATCACATAAATGTTTACGCTAACACATAATGCTAATAATATAAACATATACTAATCAAATGGTTTTTATGGTTACAATGTACATGCCATTCCAATTTCCTCTACAAGTGCATAAGATCCATAAGATCCAGAACAAGTTAGTGTCATACCAATGAATATTTCCTTCTAGAGTAGGGTCTGCAAACTATAGTCAAGGGCCAAATCTGGCTCTATTTTTGGAAATAAAGTTTTACTAGTTCACAACCACAACCATTCCTTTGCTTAAGGCTGCTATTTGGCAGGGGTGAATAGTGGCTATAGAGATGGTATGGTCTACAAAGCCTAAAATATATACTACCTAGCCATTTACAGAAAAAGTTTGTCTACTCCTGCTATAGAGTATTCACGTATGAATCTACAATAACCATAGAAAAATGATTAGCATAATTAGCATGGTTTAAGAAACAGCAAAACATTCATCATGCCTCACGTATTTTAATATAAAGAGACATTAAAAAGTGAATAGATTTGACAACAGATTTTTTATTTATGTGGTTAAAGGTCTCTTAATTAGAAGTATAGAGCTTGAGCCTATACAATTCAACAAATACAAACTGAATTCTGGATATGTATAAGGTCCCAAATTTGGTACCAACAAACTTTCTATAAAAGGTTTGTTGGGTTGTTTTTTATCTTCTCAGCAGCTTTTAGAGGCCTGGGGAAAAATTAAACCTGGTTTGGAGTTGGATAGTTTCAGTCTCAAAGGCAAGAAGGGATGGTGCCAGAGATAGTGATCACTCACTCATGTATTCTGTACTTTTAGGATTAGCTACTAAGTATTTGGGATTTTAAAATCCCAAACTTTGCTGTTCATTTAAAACTTTCAAAAAAAACTCAGGAGCCTAAACTCAATCTCTGAGAACTGATCAAATACTCTATAGCAGGCTAATTTGCTTAAAAGATGTGTATATATATTTAAACATAAGTTATATGTACTTAAGCTTTACTCTGATGGGCAGTATGATGTACTAGGTTAAGGACTTCAGACACTAGCCATGTGATGTAAGATCTCAGAATTTGTTTCTTCCTCTAAAACGGTTATCATAATGATATTTATCTCTTAGAGTTATTGTTAAGATTAAATAAGAATATGAATGCAAACTGGTTACACATAATAATTCATAAATAGTAGGTATAATTATCACCATCAAGGTGAACCACTACTTAGAAATTGTACCCTCACATTCTTAAAGAATTTGGTATCCTATATATAACCTTTTCCTTTTCTCATTTTATCATCTTTCTAACTTCAACACATTTTCCTTTGCCATATATTCTCAACTTCTAACTCTTTCTGTGCTAAGGAGTCATGACTAGTAGTCAACAGTCAGAACAAACATCCCTTAACATTTAATAGAAGACAATATAACAGGGTCACTATACTGCTTTCTATGGATAGTTTCTCAGAGCAGAAGCCACTAATCTCTTAGACAAGCCATTAGCTTGGCACCCAAAAAGCAAGAAGATAAGTAAAACCTTGTACAAAACAAAACCAAAGCCCTGCTCTCATTACCACAGACACGCCATTTAGGCTGAACATACTTGAATATAGGTATAGTCAGTTCCTATATTAAGATTTTACATTGACCTCAGTTTTACATCTTTCCATCAGAAGAAAATTTAATTTCCTTGAATCCTCAGAAGGAAAACAAACAGAGAAGATTTTCACAAAACAACAGGCAAGTGTTTACTGTTGAAATACTTAGGTACTAAGCAAAGCAAAGCAATAGCATCCTGCGATTTAACTGTGACAGAAAATTATAGACTTAAACCTGAAGATAGTATAGTCATTCCTTGTTCCAATTACACCAAGCAAAGCAAACAGCTCACTGCTTGTGAAGTTTTCACATAAATGCTTCTCCAAAATAAGTGGTCCTAAATCTGCTATAACTGAAATTCCTAGAATTTGAGAAGCTATAAAAAAAATTCAGGTTTTTGGTTAGCTGTCTAAAGTAACACAACATCTAATGAAAAGCACAAACTAAACCCAGAAAAGCATGCATTTTATAAAGTAAAATTCAATAGAAGACAACATAATGTAGTCAGTATGCCTTTCTTTATGAATAGGTTCTTAGGGCGAAGCATTCATAAATTAAATTTTCCCTCCAACAGTGAGAAGAACATCATAATCCTAAGAATGGAAACTGCAGAGAAAACAGCATCTCAAATCAATGAGACTTCGATTTTAACACTATTAGGTATATTCAGTAGGTATGCTAAGAAAACTGTGGCTTCAAATTTAGTCTTAATTAAGTAAGCACTCTTGAGAAAAAGGTTTGCTCTCCTTCCTCGTGCAGTTTCAATTTTTTTTTTAGATTTATAACATTTGATGTGGTATTGTTAAATATGTTTGTACATTAATTTTCTGCTCTATTTCCAGATCTATAGCAAAAATCAAGCCAGAATTGGAGATGCTGAACTATTTTCCCATACCTCTTTATGCCAAGTTCTAAAATACACAATTCAATTCTTTCACCATTTTGTTGCAAATTGACCAAAATACTGAGTTTATTTTCCTAGCTGAATTTATCTTTGTTCCTCTGGAAGAGCAAACACTTCACCCCTTCATCCTTGGCCTGCTTCAGAGCTCAGGGATGATCATAGTTTTGGCCACATTGCTACTCTCCCTTATCAAAATAACTCCAGCGTTCTTGTTCAATCACAAAACTTCCCAAAGGGCTAAACACTTCCACCACTGTTTGTACTTAAGTCAACAGTAACAAGTGGCCTGCTGTGGTTTCCACTACCTTTGCTCTCACTATTTCAATGCAAGGGTGGGAAAAATGATTAACTGTTTTTAAGCTTAGCACTTAAGCCTCTCACTCATACTTCCCCATCTACCACCACCCAGATTGATATTCAGAAAACTAAGAGCTATATTCACTGAAAAGTATGGTGCTCCCTATCAACATGCCAACATGAAAGGAATTACTCATAGTTTAAAGTATAAATCATCCAAGGATCATATAAACAAATACTTCTCTTCACTTAACACAAACAATTGTTCAGAGGGTGCTTTTTAAAACTAGATTCATTTATAGTAAATTCTTTACAGTTGAAACAATTTAAAATTAATAGTTTTGACCCAACTCAGCAAGAAAACAATACTTTAAATCGCAAATGTTTTAAATTTCTTATGAACTTTTTTGAAGGCTAATATTAATTAAAAATTTAAAAAATTCAAAACTGCAATTTCAAAGTGGTCCCCAGATACATACTCGATATAAAAACACACAACAAATGTAAGGTGACCTGATATTAATAGGATATATTTACACAATAAAAACATTTGAATTTTAAAAACAAAATCCAGTAAGCCAATAATTGAGAAACTAAAGAAATTTTATGCTATGACTATCTTGAAATAGGAGAAGCAGTACAAAAAAAATATTTTGTTGACTGGTATGTGAAGGCAAAACAAGAACCTTCATTTCTCTAACCTACTTGATGTATTATCTTTGTTTTTTCAACTGCTATTCACTTGATTAAATGATAATCTAAATGCCAAGATTTCCACATTTTGAATAAAAGTTTCTCTCTAAATGTTAAAGATAAAACCATTTAAAGATAAATATTAAAGGAAATAAGTCTATTTTCAGGAGGAGATTTAAAATTATTATGAGACATTCTTAAAAAAGCAATTGAGTAAAAAATTCAAAGTAAATTTACTTTCTACAGGGTTGTTTGGAATAATAGTTTGAGGTAGATTACTGCTTAGGTTAACTGCACTTTGAATAACTGAAAAACTGACAATAGTTTTGCTATAGCAGTTGATGCCAAACAACTTCTCAGTCCAATATTCACTTTTTATATTGAGACATAACTGACATATAACATTACATTAGTTTCAGATGTACAATATAGTGATTCATCATTTGTATATATTGTAAAATGATCACCACAATAAGTCTAGTTAACGCCCATCACCTCACACAGTTACAGAGTATTTTTTCTTGTGATGAGAACTTTTAAGATCTCTCTTAGCAACTTTCAATATACAATACAGTATTATTAACTACAGTCATCATGCTGTACAGTACATCCCTAGGACTTTTTTATTTTATAACTGAAAGTTTGTACGTTTTGACCACTTTCACTCATTTTACCCACCCCTCCTTCCCCTAATATTCACTTACAATTTCACTGAAAATAAATGCATTTTAAACAATTACTGGACTAATAAATGAACCACTTTATGCTGGATTTTTTTGAGAACTAGCATGCCAAAAGCAACTTTAATTTCTGAATTAATAAAAAATTGAAGTCAAATTTTGCCATGAACATAAGCTTCCAAATATTGGAAGTTAATCAATCAACTTTTACTTTAGGTTGAGCTGTAAATCAATATTCTAGCATTCACTCAACATTTTAGATTTTTCTAAAGATTTAAAATCATTTCTTACACCAATAATGCTGTGAATAAGCATGACATTATTAAAGACATTATTCATAATACAAGAATGCTAAAATGAAAAAATGCTAAATGATTTGCCTAAAATCACAACTAAGTTGGAGGGACTTAATTTCCTCAATGCAATATAGCCATCCACAATAACTGTCCTTTCTATATCACCTTTATGGAAACTACTGAAAACCCAGAGGTTCAAAATATCATTTTACATAATTAGAACAGCTTCTAAAAGACTCACAGTTTATGAATTTACCCTGAAAAGGAAGTATGTGAATGTGCATGTATTTGTGTACGTGTGTGTTATGTTTGCTTTAAACAAAGCAAACTTGTTATGAAAACAAATCATCAAAATGTTAGTGCTTTTAAGGTAGTTTTTATCATTGGGCCGTCCTGTAAGCAAAATGACATGAAATTTTTAATGAATATA